AGTCTGAGAAGATGCATGGTATAATTTCTATTTTTTTTTTAATTTGTTGAGATGTGTTTTATGGCCTAGGATGTGGTCAAGCTTAGAGAATGTACCATGAGCTGATGAGAAGAACGTATATTTAGTGGTTTAGGGGTAAAATGTTCTGTAAATATCTGTGAGGCCCATTTGATCTTGATTTCTGCTTAAGTCCATTGTTTCTTTGTTTATTTTCTGTTTGGAGCATCTATCCTGTTCGGTCAAAGGAGTGTTGAAGTTCCTAGCTATTACGGTGGTGATGTTTATCATTTGGGTTAGATCGAGTAAGATTTGCTTTAGGAATCTGGGTATAACTGTGTTGGGTACATAAATACCTAGAATTGTTAGGTCTTCTTGTTGAATAATGTTCCCTTTACCATTATATAATGACCATCTTTGTCTTTCATTACTTTTGTTGACTTTAAGACTAAATTATCTGATATGAGAACTGCTATACCAGCTTTCTTTTGGTTTCCATTTGCATGGAATATTGTTTTTGATCCCTTCACCTTCAGCCTGAATGAGTCCTTGTGGATTAGGTGTGTATTAGACACATCCTTGTGGATTAGATAGTCCTTGTGGATTAGATAACTTGGCTTGTGTATATTTACCCATTCTGCCAGCCTATTCTCTTGAGTGGGCAGTTCAAATCATTCACATTTATTGAAAGAATTCATAAGTGGGGTGGATTTCTGTTCATCCTGTTGAGTAGAAGTTTGTTGCTTTATCTCTTGAGCCATTGTAGTATCTGGCCTTTGACCTTTAGCTTTTGGTGATTTTACAATGGTGAGTGTCTACTGTGCTGATTCATGTATAATGCAGTCGTGAGTGCTTTGTGCTCGACAGGTCTGGTCTTGACAAATACCCTCAGTGTTCGCTTGTCTGAAAAAGACTTTATTTTCCCCTCATATATGAAACTTAGTCTTGCAGGATACAAAATTCTAAACTGGGCCCCAGTCCCTTCTGACTTGTAAGGTCTCAGCTGAGAAGTTTGTAGTTAGTCTGATGGATTTTCCTTTGTAAGTTACCAGCTGCTTTCACTTTATGATTTGTAGAAGGGCTTCTTTCATGTTTATTTTGCCCAGTCTGATGACTGTATTTTGGTGTCTTCCTGTTTGCAATGAATCTCCCAGGAGTCCTTTGAGCTTCTTGTACCTGGATATCTAGATTTCTAGCAAGGCCAGGGAAATTTTCCTCAATTATTTCCTCAAATAAAATCATCCCGTGCGTATTTTCTTCTTCACCCTCACGGATGCCTATGATTCTTATGTTTGGCTTCTTCACATAATCCCCTATTTCTTGTCTTATTTCTCTGCTCTATCTCTGTGACTGACTTGTTTAAGTGAAGGAGGTTGTCTTCATGCTCTGAGATTCTTTTTTCTGCTCAGTCTAACCTATTTTTAAGGCTCTCCACTATGTTTTGTAATTCCTTGAATGAAGTTTTCATTTCCAGCTGTTCTGGAGTATTTTCTTTAATATTTTTCTTCAATATTTTTCTTTAATTTTTCTGATTTAATTCCTGATTTTTCTTTAATATTTCAATTTCTTTAGTGAATTTTTTATTCATTTCCTGCATTGCTTTTGTGAGTTTTTTTGTGTTGGGTTTCCATGTTATCTTGCATTTCATTGAGCTCCTTTACAATCCATGTTTGAAAATCTTCATCTGGCACTTCAATGTTCTGATTTTGGTTGATATCCATTGTTAGAGAGCTGGTGTTCCTTTTAGAGGTGTCCTTTCACTTTAATTCTTCATACTTCTGGAGTTCTTTCACTGCTTCCTTCTCATCTGGAGTAGCTGTTGCTCCTTTGGATTTTCTTTTGTTTAGATGAATACATATTCTTAAGATGTGTTTTAATTTCTAACGCAATAAATATTAGTAGACGTAATTTGAAAAAACAAAAACTCCTCTGAATTTTCAATAATTTTAAAGAATGCAAAGATCCTGCAGTCTTGATCAAAAAGTTTAAGAACTCCTGCTCTACAGGCAGCAGTAAAGCTGATGAGAAGTGACTGTATCTTATAGGTACAGCTGGCAGAACATGCTGATCAGATGTGGTAGGAGAAAGATTATTTATAAACAGTAAGCCTAAGCGAATGAGTAGATAATGTTGCAATTTAATGGACAGTTAAGACAGTGAGGGAGATGCATGATTGCAGAGCAAAATCAAGAGTTCTGTTTTTGTATGTGTCAAATACCTATTCGATATACAAGTGGACACAAATAGGTAAATTCTAGAGCTCACAGTAAAGTGATCAGTGGAAACACAAATCTGATACTCTATTAGCATCTTTATTATGATCAAATTATATTACTTTCAGAGAGTATAGACGGAAAAGATAACAGGGCCACAGACCAAGCCCCATATGCCAAAATTTAAAGGTTAGGCAGAAGAGGAACAGCAAAGAAAACTACAAAAAAGCACCCACAAATCCAAACAAAAGTCTGATCTTTTTGTAAAACCGCCAAACTGTATTCCACAGCAGATGCACCATTTTACATTCCCACCAGTCCTCCCATTTGCTTTTAACCAATTCCAACAAAGATATTACCAGTGTTGTATTACTGCTGTGGTCAAGATCACCAGTAATTTCAACACTGTCAAATTTAAGGATCCATTCCCAAAAATAACCCACTCCCTCCTCTTTAAAACACTTATGGTGGCCAGGCGCGGTGGCTCACGCCTGTAATCCTAGCTCTCTGGGAGGCCGAGGCGGGCGGATTGTTTGAGCTCAGGAGTTCGAAACCAGCCTGAGCAAGAGCGAGACCCCATCTCTACTAAAAAATACAAAGAAATTAATCGGACAACTGAAAATACATAGAAAAAATTAGCCGGGCATGGTGGCACATGCCTGTAGTCCCAGCTACTCGAGAGGCTGAGGCAGAAGGATCACTTGAGCCCAGGAGTTTGAGGTTGCTGGGAGCTAGGATGACACCACGGCACTCTAGCCCAGGCAACAGTGAGACTCTGTCTCAAAAAAAAAAAACAAAAAAACAAAAAAAAAAAAAACCACTTATGGTACTTGGCTTCCAGATACTCTCTTGGTTTTCTGCTTACATCACTGATCACTTATCCTCTGCTTCTCTTGCTATTTCTTCCTCATCTTTCCAATGTTTTAACATGACACTTCCCCAGAGCTTGGTTCTAGAACCTCTCCTTTTTTTCTTACCTACACTGATTGCAGTCTTAATACAGCCATGACTTTCAAATTTATACCAGACCAAATTTCTAATCTGATCTCCATTTTTATATATCCAACTATCTGCTGAATAGCTCTTCTTAAATATACAGTGGGCATCTTAAAAGTTGTCCAAAACCAAACTCCTAATCTTCGTCTCAAACCTAGTCTTTTCCCAATTTCACTTATCTCAAAAAATCAGAACTCAAGCCTTTCAGTTGCTCAAGATCCATCCTTAGATCCTCTTTATTTCATTCGTGTCTCATAAAAAAATATATCAGGAAATCCTGCCTCTTCAACCTCCAAAACACATTTAAAATCCAATCACTTTTCATCGCCTCCACTTACTACAGCCCTAGTCCTAGTCATCATCTCTTGCTTGAAAATTACAATCCTATCTGTCTGATTTCCTTACTTCTGCTTTTGCTCTCCTGTAATCTATTTCCAACACAGCAAATAGAGTGATCCAGTTTAAAATATAACTCAGGTCATCATGACAGCAAATAGAGTGATCCAGTTTAAAATATAACTCAGGTCATCATGTAATTTTGTGAAAAACTGTCCCAAAACTTTCTCACTCAGAATCAATGACTAAGTCCCCAAAATGATCTACAGAGTTTTATGACTTTGCACTGCTCCATGCCTTATTACCTCTCTGATCTGATTTTTTACTACTTTCACATTAGGTCACTTTGCCCCAGCCCCATTGGCCTCTTTGCTGTTCCTGAAACTTTTAGGGCCTTTACATTTGCTATTAGAATAATGCTCATCCCCACATATCTAATAGGCTTCCTCTTTCACAGGACTTTGCTTAAATATCCCCTTCACAGTAAGGTCTTCCATGATCATACAATTTTAAATTGCATAATTTCCCCTCTATTTCCCACTCACTATTCCTCTTCCCACTTTTTCTACATAACCCTTATCCTCAATGGACATATTATACATCTTATGTTTATAGTATCAATTTAAGTTCTAAGAGGCAGGGATTTATATCTGTTCACTTTGGTATCTCTAGAGACGAAACAGTGCCTGGACCACAGCTGCTATCAAAAATATTTGTTCACGGAATTAAGATACTGTTCAGGATTACTGCGTGTATGGTGACAGTATTATAAAAAGCCAGGGAACAAATAACTCAAAATTCAGGTTGGGTTATATTTGAGAGATAGAGAAGATACAATATGATCAAAGAAGAACACATAAGGGGCATCAAAAATACTAATAATTTTATATTTCTTTAAGGAAAAAGATGTTCACTTTACTTGAACATACATATTATATACTCTCCTTTATGCAGAACAGAGTATATATTTTACAGGGATTATTTTAATGAAGTAGTCAAATACTGCTGCAAAATAGTTAGAAAAGGATTTAGACAAAGATTTAGACTGTCTTAAAGAGCAAGAGAGAGACAAATTGCATATAAATAATGCTTTAAAGAAATTTTTTATGAAGGAGAACACAGAAATAAAACACTAGCTGTAAGAGTACATATATTTAAGGGAGATTTTTGATGTGCCTTTTTTAATGAAAATATTAAGGTATGTTTGTATGCCAACTCAGTGATTCAGTAGGAAGAAAAAAACCTATGAAACCGATATGAAAAGAAGATAGGAAGGGATTGAAATTCAATTATTTCAGACGGAAGGGACATACAATTTTATGAGGTAAGGATTGTTAGACTCTACCTAACATCTATTAAGTGCAAAACAAATTTCAGTTAAGATAGAATCTTATTAACAATCAAAATTTAAGCATTAAAGTTGATAGAAATATGAACAGCAAAAGAAAGAAAACCTACTTTGAACGTCACAGTTGCCTTTGTGCAGTAAAATCCTATAGAAACAATAGGATCCTTCAAAGTCTGTGCTTTCTGCTGATGAGTGATTGATGTAGGATCATTCCCAAGGTAGTCTTCCTCACTATCATCATAACTCACAATTGCAGGCACAAATGACCAGGCCCACGACACCCACCCCTGTGGCTGTTCATCATCTTGCTGTGAATAAAACTCTTGGCCTTTATGCTGAGCAGGATACTGCATATCTATTCTTGTTTCATCTTCAACACCTGTCAATCAAAATAAAGTCATTTTAAATAAATCAAGAGGATTTAACTAAGAGAAGAAATAAGAATTGATAGGCTTTAAAATTTTTCTTTCCACATCTTTCTTTCTAGTATAAGGTATAAATAAATCATACACTGGTTATTATTATTTGAAACCAATAATTTAGCATTATCATTCATGTTTCTGCATGTTGTACTATGAAATCTCATTTATTAGGTTAGTATAATGTTATGTGGAGAGTAGTCTATTAATTGCACATAGTTTTAAATGTATTTGATAAATACAAAGAATAAATTAAATCTTTAACATTTCATTAATTTTTTTTTAAACAAACAAATCTTCCTCTCAGAAATGAAGCTAATGTGTTGAAAAAGTGACTTTTCTCTGAAACATAATACCAGAAAGATACAAGAAACATTCTTGATTTCCTGACGTGCCCAGTGGAGAAAGAAAACAGCAAGCGCTTCCAGAAAAACTGCACCCTCCACCCCTAAAAAAAAGAATTATCTCAAAGGATGAAAGTAAATGTTACAATGGACTTTTTACATGTAGTTAAGAAAAATAATAGTGTTGGCCCTCTTTCTTATTAGTGGGTGAGATATGTTAGTTCCTGTTCTACAGATGAAAAAAATTTATAGCAAAGAAATTTTATATGGTGAAAAACTGGCAGACAAAAGATTTAAATTTCAACCACTCTTTAACTTATTCCACCTTTGTAAAGTCGAACTCCATCAAAATGACTTAAGATTATACTAGCAATTCAAACAAAAGAGGCATATCATCATGGAGTTTAGACAGAAAGAAAACAATTACTTTTTAAAAAACTCATGAGGTAAGAAGTCTCCAGCAGATTCATACATATCTACTCTTCATTGATAAATCTATAAATACACACACTCCTTTAAATCTTTAAATACCCTCCTTCCGAATTTTCTGGTCAGAAAAAGTTTATAACATTTTTAACTCTTCTGACAGGAGACCCTTGGAACATCTTACACTTACAGGTTATGACCATTTACCTTCCTTCATCTGGGAAGGAAAAGGCTTCATAAGAATTAGCTAGAGTAACTAGAATATACGATCAAGAGGCCTTAGATGTACTTCAAAACAAATCATAGGCCGGGCACGGTGGCTCATGCCTATAATCCTAGCACTCTGGGAGGCCAAGGTGGGCGGATCGTTTAAGCTCAGGAGTTCGAGACCAGCCTGAGCAAGAGCAAGACATGGTCTCTACTAAAAATAGAAAAAAAATTAGCTGGACAACTAAAAACATATACATAAAAAAATTAGCCGGGCATGGTGGTACGTGCCTGTAGTCCCAGCTACTCGGGAGGCTGAGGCAGGAGGATGGCTTGAGCCCAGGAGTTTGAGGTTGCTGTGAGCTAGGCTGACGCCACGGCATTCTAGCCCGGGCAACAGAGTGAGACTTTGTCTCAAAAAATAAAAATAAGTAAATTATAAAAGTTACAAATCCAGACAATGTTTGGCATAATCTTTAAATCTTTCTGTTCAACGATAAATATTATATAAGTTTCTACTGAGGAATAAATAAAGCCTGTTATAAATCATCCCTATTAAGATGTCAAAATGAACATCATCACTGAATATCATCTGGTATAAAAGGAGAAATAAAGTCACCTCAACTCAAGGAACAGTTAACAAGTTTGAATCCACAGAGCTGGACTCTAGACCTCTCGTCTAATCCATTAAAACAGAAGCAGTATCCACTGCTTGAGCTTTATAAGCAAAAGAAAGAAACTACTAAGAGACCTGAAAAACTAGCCACTATAATTTTTACTCAATATCATCTTGAGTAAAAAATAGGAAGGATTTTGGTGAAAGATACTTTTTCAGTTCTGAATCTTTGTTCACTGCCTTATAAAAAGAATAAGGGCACAGAAAAGAAAAGCATCTCCCTGATACCTCATCAGAATTTCCTAAAATGCTCTTTTTGTTTGGAACAGTGCATCTTAATCTGGGGCCTGTTGATACAATTCAAGAATTCCATGAATTTCAACAGGAAAATATATACAGTATTAAATAAAACATAGCATTTTTAAAAATGAATTCACATAACAAACCACAGTTGTGTTAGCGGTACCTGTGACTCTAACACAGATAAAACATGCACTGCATAACAAGGTTTCAGTTAATGACAAACCACATATACAACAGCACTCCCATAAAATTATAATGAAGCTGACAAATTCCTTCCAACTAGCGACATCACAATTATCATAATGTCATAGTGTCACGCATTTACTTACGTTTGTGGTGATGCTGGTGTAAATAAACCTATTGCACTTCCAGTCACATAAAAGTATAGTACATATAAGCATGTATAGTATATAATACTTGAAAATCATAATAAATAACTCTGTTACTTGTCCACATATTTACTATAGTATACTTTTTATCATTATATTAGAGTATACTCCTTCTACTTATAAAACACAGTTAACTATAATGTAAAATAGCCACAGGCAGATCATTTAGGAGGTATTCAAAAAAAAAAGGCATCATTACTATAGGATATAACAGTTTCCTGAATGTTACTGCTCCTGAAAGACTTCCGGTGGCATAAGATACAAAGGTGGAAGACAGTGTTATTGATGATCCTGACGGTGCGTAGGCCTAGACTAATGTGTGGGTTTGTGCCTTGGTGTTCAACAAAAAAGTTCAAAAAGTTCTAAAAACATTTAAAATAGAAAAAAGCTTAGAGAATAAGAATATAAAGAAAAAGTATTTCTGTATAGCTATACAATGTGTTTTAAGCTAAATTGTTACAATAAAAGTCAAAAAGTTAAACAAAAATGTAAGTTTATACAGTAAAAAGGTACAGTAAGCTAATTTATTATTAAAGATGGAAAAATGTTTTTATAAATTTAGTGTAGCCCAAGTGTATAGTGTTTAAAAAGTCCACAGTTGTGTACAATAATGTCCTAGGCCTTCACATTCACTTTTCGCTCACTCACTCACTCACCCAGTGCAACTTCCACTCCTTTAAGCTCCATTCATGGCAAATGCCCTATATAGGAGTACCATTTTTTATCTTTTAATAAATCATATTTTTATTGTACCTTTTCTATGCTTAGATATGTTTAGATACACAAATACTTACCATTGTGGTACAATGGTCTACAGTATTCAGTACAATAATACAGTGTGCAGGTTTGTAGCCTAGGAGCAATATGCTATACCATATAGCCTAGGTGTGTTCTAGGCAAAACCCTTCAGGTTTGTGTAAGTATACTCTATGATGTTTGCACAGCAACGAAATCACCTAATGATGCATTTCTCAGAACATAAACCCATCGTTAAGTGACACATAATTGCATATCAACAGTTGTGGAACTATCTCAAAATATTCACTCATTACTACTTTGAAAGTATGATAGCTATTAGACCTTCTGCTATATATATCCTGATATTTAATGTGTTAACAGAGAAGCACATAATATTACTATATTATCATTTCTTAAATACAGTTGTATTTCAATACAATTAGTTTCTTTTGTAATCCAATATATTTACTTTAAGCATTTAAAACATTCAGAGAGTCTGCATATAGCCAAAATTGAGTAACAGAGAGAGAATTTACCCTACCATGTGGAAAAAAAAAAAAAGACAAAATATATGAAATAATGGGTTTTCAAATATTGAGTATCAGGAAATAAAGGTCAGTGACTCTTGATAGATGGGATAGATGGGAAACAAGAGAAATGAGCTCTGCGATTGCCCCAGCTTATTGCCTGCAATGAGTTTCTAAGCCATAGCCAGCAAAAGGGAAATCCAAGTCGAGCAACAGCCTCCCTTAAATGAAAAGACAACATAGGAAGTCCAGGGAGACCAAGAGGGCTATAGCTTGTAAGGTACCAGAGCACCAAACCAGAAAGCTTCTCAGAGAGCCCCTGAGATCGGCAGAGGGTCCTCCTCCAGTATTCATTCAGCTGAGTATTAAGTACCGTATGTGCGTAAGAAAACTACCTAAGGCTATGAAAAGAACCACCAGAAAGGAGCAAAGAGAACAATCCCCAGGGCTCATATAGAATCGGGAATAATTTTTGCTTTCACCAGACAGAAAGCAAAAACCTTTTAGTTCACAGGGCATTAGGGCAGAGTACTCCAAAGAGTAATTGTCTCACTAATCAGACAAAATTGAGTCTAATGGGTACTCTGATCTCATCTAAAAAACCTTAAAAGCAAGGCTCAAATGAATTAAATTATTTCCAAGTAACTTAAATGCTTGTTGGAACACCAAAATATCCAGCACCCAACAAGGTAAAACTGACAATATCTAGCATCCAGTTAAAAATTATCAGACATGCAAGGAAGCAAAAAAAAATATAGCCCATAATGAGGAAAAAAGTCGACCAATAGAAATAGATCCAGAAATGACACAGATCATAGCATTAGCAAACAAGAGAAAATTAAAATAGCTATATAAAATGTTCAAGAAAGCACAAACAGGTTAAGACATGAAATATATAATAAAAGACCTAAATTGAACTAGAGATGACAAATACAGTATCTGAGATGAAATTTACACTGGATGGTATTAATAACAGACACACAAAGCAGAAGATTAGTTAACTTGAACAGAATAAAAGCTACATAAAATGAAACTCAGAAAAAAAGGGGAAAAAAATTAATGGTGCATCAGAGAGCTCTGTCAACCACCATGCAGCCTAAATACAGTCCCTAGAGAAGGAAACTGAAAAATATGTTTGAAGAAACAATGGCCAAAATTTTTCCACATCTAGATGAAAACTATAAACCACAGATCTAAAAACTTCAATGAACTCCAAGCACAAGTAACATGAAGAAATTATACTGAAGCACATCATAATCGAGTTACTTAAAACCCAAGAGGTCAGGCACAGAGGCTGACACCTGTAATACCAGAACTTTGGGAGGCTGAGGCAGGAGGATCACTTGAGGCCAGGACTTGGAGACCAGCTTAGGCAACATAGCAAGACCACGTCTTTACAAAAAAAATAAAAAATGAAAAATAACCAGATGTGGTGGCACATGCCTGCAGTACTAGCTACTCAAGAGACTGAGGTAGGTGGATCACTTGAGCCCAGGAATTCAAGGCTGCACTAAGCTATTATGGTACCATTGCACTCCAGCTTAGGTGACAGAGTGAGACTCTGTCTCTAAAAAAAATTAATATAAAATAAAACAAAATAAAATATAATAAAATACACCTGAGAAGAGGTTCATAGGCTTGGGCAGAGTGTCAAAAGAATCCATGGCACACACAAAAAAAGGGTTAGGGATCCCTGCTTTAAACAGATGAGAAAATTAATTCAGATGCCTCTGGAAGCAAATAGCAGAACTGCTTTTTCTCTCTCTTAACATACAAGAAAAACCTAGTCACCTTCTTATACAGAAAGCAACAGTTATAAAAGAAAAATCTGAAAGTTACAGTTCATCAAAATGTAAAATTCCTGCTCAAAAGAAATCTATTAAAACATGAATAGCTATCGATCCTAAGTACGCACTTAAAAAAAAAAAAAAAAAAGGAATAGGCGAGTCACAAACTGGCAAAAAGAAAAATTCCCAAAACATATATGACAACGGACTTGAACTCAGAATATAAAAAAAAATCCCAGAAATCAATATGGAAACACAGAAAACGTTTTTAAATGGACATTTAACATAGACTTCACAAAAGCAGACATATTAAAGGTCAATAACCACATAAAAAAGTTCAAAATAATTACTCATCAGAAAAATGCAAATTAAGATGAGATACCACAATACACTCATCAGTATGGCAAAAAAGTAAGAAAATACTGACAACACCAAATGTTGGCAAGGATGTAAAGCAACTGCAACTCACATACATTGTTGATGGAAATATAAAAAGGTACACTTTTCAGAAAAGGTCTTGTTTCTTTAATAAGTAAACGTATAATTTCACTCTTAAATATTTACCTAAGAATAGTATATGCCTATATGAAATCTGCATAAAAATATCTATGAAATCTTTATTTAAAACAGCCAAAAACTAGAACCAGCCCAAGTATCCATCAATAGGTGAATGGTTAAATAAACTACGGTATGTTATACAACATACCTAGAAAAAAAAAAAGGAAAGAATGATTGCTACATGCAACAATATAGATGAATACCCAAAATATTATACTTAATGAAAGAAACCTCCACAAGAGAGTATATATTCCATCTATATGAAATTCTAGAATCGGCAAAACTAATCTATCATTTTTAAAAACTCTAGAACAGTGTCTTCCTGAGTGTATGTGGGCAGGCAGGGAGGTGAAGAATGATTAGAAAGGGACATAAGGAATTTTCTGAGATCTTTTTTTTTTTTTTTTTGAGACAGAGTCTCACTCTTTTGCCCAGGCTAGAGTGCCGTGGCGTCATCCTAGCTCACAGCAACCTCAAACTCCTGGACTCAAGCGATCCTACTGCCTCAGCCTCCTGAGCAGCTGGGACTACAGGCATGCGCCACCATGCCCGGCTAATTTTTTCTATATATTTTTAGTTGTCCGATTAATTTCTTTCTATTTTTAGTAGAGACGGGGTCTCCCTCTTGCTCAGGCTGGTTTCGAACTCCTGAGCTCAAACAATCCGCCCGCCTCGGCCTCCCAGAGAGCTAGGATTACAGGCGTGAGCCACCGCGCCTGGCCTTTTCTGAGATCTTAATGACCTACCTCTTGATGATGTTTTACATCATACAGATGTATACAATTCTCAAAACTCACTGACTACTATATTTAAGATTTCTATCTTCTTAGCTTTGGCCGGCATGGGGGGGAGGGACCGGAGATTTATACAATTCATTTTATAAATTTCACCTTCAAAAAAATTTTTAAAAAACATTAGTAAATATAAACTCTAATTAACAATATGCAGCTGAGGTCTGGGGGAAGTGTACTAATGTCCTTGAAAGGCATCAAAAATTTAAATTGATAATTTATACTGATAAATAGAGAAAGGAACATTAGATGGAAAGATATGTGATGAAGCAAATATAACAAAATATTAACGGTAGAATCTAAATGATGAGCATGTGAGTGTCCACAGTATAATAACTCTTTTAACTTTCATATATATTTGAAATTTGTCAGGTTAGGAAAAAAATGAACTGATTGTCTGTATGTGCTAGTTTTGTTCAAGGTATTAGACATTGTTTCTGTTCATTGTCTAACAAAAATTAACTGTGTAGTGTGAAATGGAGGTATGTTTTATATCTACATACCCTTATTAATGTTGTTCCCTACACTTTTTTTTAAGGTAATAAGGTTCTTTTGATGAGATAAAATTCAGAGAGCATAAAATTCACTTAAAAAGTGCACAACTCAGTGGTATGTATGTATGTATGTACGTGTTTGTTTGTTTGTCATGGGATCTCACTCTGTCACCCCTGAAACTCCTGGGCTCAAGTGATCCTCCTGCCTCAGCTTCCTGAGTAGCTGGGACTACAAGTGCATACCACAATGCCTAGCTAATTTTTCTTATTTTATGCAGAAACAGGGTTTCACTCTGTTGGCCAGGCTGGTCTTGAACTCCTGGGCTCAAGCAATCCTCCCACCCCACCATCCCAAAGCACTGGGATTACAAGCATGAGCAACCGCACCCAGTCTGGTTTTTATTATAGTCTCGAGTTGTATGACCACCACCACTATCTAATTTTAGAACATTTTCATCACCCCCAATAGGAAGTTACCTATTTATAGTCATTTTCTCTCCCCTCCAGCCCCAGGTTACAAATATACTTTCTGCCTCTACAGAATTGCCTATTCTGGACATTTCAAATGGAATCATACATGTGTTCTTTTTTGTTGCCTGGCTTTCACTTAATGTTTTCAAGATTCATCCACGTTGTCGCGTACGTCAGTATTTCATTCCTTTGTATGGCTGAATAATATACCATAATTTATTTATTATCCATTCATCAGCTGATAGACATTTATGTTGTTTCCAGTTTTTGGCTATTAAGAATAATGCTGCCATAAGTTTTTATGTGGACATATATCATCAATTCTCTTGATATATACCTAGGAGTAGAATCGCTGGGTCATATGGTAACACTATGTTCAACTTTTTGAAGAACTGCCAGATTGTTTTCCAAAGTAGCTATACAATTTACATTCCCACAAGAAGCATATATGGGTTCCAATTTCTCCATATTCTCACCAACACCTGTTATGATGTGTCTTTTTTACTATAGTCATCCCAGTGGCTGTGAAGTGGTATCTCATTGAGGTTTTGATTTGCACTCCCTTCATGGCTATTGATGTTGAGTATCTTCACGTGCTTGTTGGCCATTCATTTCTCTTCTCTGGAGAAATGTCTATTTGTCCATTTTTTAATTAAGTTATTTGTCCCTAAGTTTTAAATGCCCTTCTTAGGGCCTAGCTATGGAAATTAATATCTTAAACCTTTCTCAATCTCAGGCCCCAAACCAAGTCAAAATCAATCAATCCTTTCATTTTTCTATGTCAGATCACTCACATCTCTATTTATCAAACGTTCTACCATTCTGCCATACATCATAACTAAACTGTTCACATGTCTTCCCCGTTTTACCTTCATATTTTATTTCTCTGTATTTTCCCATGTCACATATCCTTCAATGAAGCATACATTTCCTTAATTAATAGTACTGAAATAACTCAATTAATTAAATAACTCTCGGTGAGCCTTGCCAGAAAAATTGCCAACGATATTAGAACACTGTAAAACTCAATCTGTTTTTTCAAGTTTCCCACTGGTGAAAGCACTTTATAAGAACAATAATTAGAAAGTTTTTGTTATACTTACCCGTAATGTTTCCTAACATATCTTTAGTGTGACAGGTAGAGTCTTCCATTTCTCCATCTTTAAAATTGCCTATTTCTCCATAGTAAAGAGCAATCCCAAGTTGCATTATACGAATAAACATAGGCAGTTGTTGATCTGTGATAGAAAGTTTCAAGCTCTCTACTAAAGTATGAATCTGTATTTTGAAAATCAAAAACAATCAAAGAAAGCATATTTAAAGGGAATACCTTTCAAGATAATCAGTGAAATTTTAAGTCTTAAAATGAAATACCCCAAACATTTCTAATATTTAAGTCAAAATAATATTTACTCTAAAATAACAGGAATTAAATAAATTTTGCTATGATGATCAATTAACTTTAGATAGAAACTATAGTAAGCCAAATGATGTAGGTACAAACAGAATTAATAATGAGAAGATATATTCACATTAGAGCTCCAGATAATTATTTCAGAAGTAAAATAAGTTATGTAACCAAATACAAAATGAAGAGTATGATAGTATTCTCCCCTCAAAAAAAGAAAGATCTCTGTGAACCAAAAATAATAAAAATTCCATGATGTCAGTTTAGTAAAACTTTCATTGTTCTTTCCAGCTTCATTAACCAAAAAGAATACATATACATCCTAAAACCATAAGTTAAGTGGAGAAAAGACTAATGTTATAACTATCAAAGTATAGAAATAATAAAATTTTGATTGTCAAATATGGAAAACTAAATGAACTATACATTCAAAAAAGTTTTTCAAATAAATTTTAAATAAGATTTAAGCAACATAAAATTCATAACATTAATCAATTATAAGAAAGAAAGAAAATTAATTACTAGCAAATAGGATATATAGCAATCAAAGTTCTCCACAGAGAAAGAGACATCAGTGGAATATAAACACAGCTTCAGTGTAATGATTTCCTGTTGTATAAACATGGAGTGAAACTAATTAAGCTATAAAGTCAAGTCTCTTAAAAGGTTTATTTTGACTAACATACCTGAGACTCTATGAAACATGAAAAAGAATAATGGTAATCATATTTGTAGGGGTCCAAGAACAAAAATAAATGTATTTAAAAGGGGAGAAAGTTGTATAGGGGGCAGCGGTGTTAAATAACATATTTCAAACATGAGCACAAGTTTCTTAAAACTGGCCTAAAGGTCATACACCGAGTAAACCATAAAGAGGTAAGAAAATGGGGGATAGAGTTTGGCAATGGGCAGAAAAGGAGTATGCAGCTATGCAGCCCTACCAAGGTTTTCTTAATTTGAGATTTCTTTGTCACATCGTTTTAAATATTGCATTGCACCCATAGCTCCTGTGATAAGCAGTAAGTAAAACCAATAAGAACGAACCTATCAAATATATATACAAATACACACACACACACACACACATATATACAAACTACATATGTTTTAAAAAATGTTTTAAATCAATAAGAAAAGAATAATCCTCAATAGTAAAATAGATAAAGAACAAGAATGGATAATTCAAGGAATAAGCAAATGGCCAGTGAACATATTTTCAAAAATCTAATTTCACTAATAAATCAATATTAAATTATACATTATTTGTTGTTCAGCAAGTTGGCAATTTTTAAAATATGATCACACTTAAGGATAGCAAAAGTAGAACACAAGCACTCCCCTTAATGTTCACGGGAGGTAAACCTTTCTGGTAACAATCTGGTAATATAGATCACAGGCCTTAAAAAAATTTAAACCCATTCATAAGATATTTGAAATTATAGAAATCTCTCACAATGAATTAATCAGAGATGCGGTCAAAGATTTTGTATAGAATTTCATTTCATTCTTCTGAAAAACTGCAAAGTGAGTTTCCAAAAATAGAAATGTTAAATGAATTATATACCCATATGACTTGTATCTACAAATGTCATAATCTCTAGGACAAATTTGTTTCACACAAAAAAATTAAAAATAATAAAAAGCCTACCAAAAATATAAATAAATTCAAGAGCCACTTAAACAAACATATGTGAAAGGTTTAAAAAAATAATTAGGGTATCTGGAACATATTGGAAAGCCTCCTGTCTTTGAGGTGATCAATAAAGTAAACCACATCTATTTATTAATAACACATATTGCCTAAGACTAAGAGTTGGAAGAATAATAGGTCTAAACCAAAATAGCAAATCTTATAAGTATTAATTAAAAAAACTCAAAAATTAATGTCATGTAAGCAAAAGAGAATGGCATCTCATATATGTGATTAACAGAGTAAAAAACCACATATCAACAAGCTTATTGATATTAAAGGCCTTCTTACAATGAAATGCCATGGCAATTCAATTTTGAGAACAAAAATTTAATTACATGCCAACACTAAATTTTTCTTCAAGTTCATTTATTTTTACTTTCCTCTAATTTAGCCACATCTTAGAATGGACAATTAAATTTGCGCTAATGATGAATACGATTATTTTATACGGTAAAGTTCCTATATATCCATTACTTGATTTCAATATATCTTGAATTTACTTTCACATTCCCCAACTTTACTAGTCGATCCAAGGCTAAAGAAAGTAAATCCTTTTCCCTGAGACAGAGACATTAATATTATTGAGTTTATTTTTCATTCTTATCTTTGCCAAAGAAGCTAACTCAAAAATAGAAGGAAAAAGTAACAGAATTTAAACAAACCAACTTGCATTACACACTGTGGGGAAAAAAAGTAAAACATAGATGACTGAGTATGACTAAGGGGAAAAAAATAGGTAAATTTCATGTATAAATATAATTTAAGTATGGTAAGTTTATAAAAAATACAAAGTGTTACATGCTTTAATAAAACATAATGTAACATAAACAAAACTAATTTTTATACAGTCATACTCAAATAGACACAATAGTCAATACCAGTGCTCAGACTCGTAAGTCTAGCTTTTCTATCATAGAACTTTAATAATCAAAAAACAAATAATTCAACAACAAAAATTTATTCCACATTAAAACTTAGTTTAACAGGATCACAAACCACCATGGGAATTCCTTTTCTAAGACACTGACAGACAACATTCAGAAAACTGTTAAGTAACAAAAGACAACAGGATTTACATTTAGATACTAACTATACACATTGAAAATGTATATGCTACCTTGGAAAACAAATTTTTACATGTATCAAAACACATGTCCTCAATAATTCCCACACTCTGAACTTTAATTACATTTCAGAACCATAGATCAAAGTTAAAACTTCTTGAAGCAATAAACTTAAAGTATTAGGTTAGTATATCAAGCCTTACAAAGTTGCCTAAGAAAGAGAAGAGAAAATAACTGCAGTTATTAGTTCACACTGAGCATATTATAAGGATTGAAATACAGATTATTAATATTTAGTCCACTGTGGGTATAAATATTTTTATATGATTTCCTCTGCCTACTTGAACACTAATAAACAGCTGGATAAACTAAAAAGGAAATTACAGTTACAGAAAAAAAAAGTTGTCCCCAAAATATCTCTACTAGAACATAGCACACAAAAAGTATTGAGGAATTTAATTGAAAATATAAATAAAACTTTTTATAAAAACAAATGGCATTTATATTTATGAGGTTAATTTCTTTTTTCTTTTGTTTTTATTTTTCTTTTATTCTTTTTTATACCTGGTTCCTAGTTAATTTCTTCATGGTTTCTTAATAATGATTAGCATGCATAAGAGCCAATAAACAAAACAGAGACATGTAACTTAACTACAAGAAAAAAGAGACACCTACTTTAATAACAGATGGCATCTTGGAATTTAGGTTATCATATGTAAAATGAAGACGAGTTCTGAAGGAGCATTTGTACAATAAAGGATCCTGATAAAATTCTATTTTACCGCTGGCATTCCGTTTATCAAGACAAACTGTGCAGTCAGAAAAATTGATGACCTTTCTTAGTACCAGATCAGTTGCTAAAAAAAAAAAAAAAGAAAAAAAAAGAAAATCATTTTAAGTAAGAAGGAAAAACTTTTTACTTAAAGGGTGGGAGGAAGGCAACTATTATTTATTAGTACAAATAGTAATAAAAATAATAATATCAGCAAATAAGATTCATGGAGCATTTATATGATGCCAGACTCTATGCAAAGAACTTTTCATTTATTACATCATTTAAATCTTCCAACAACCTTATGAAGTAGCACAATTATCCCCATTTTATGCATGAAGAATTAGAGGCCTAATTAGCTTGTTCCCAATTTGCATAGCACATAACAACAAATTTAAGGCAAAATTTATGAACTTTCACTACAGTTCTTTTGTGTAATGAGATAATAAAATGTAATTCTTAAGAATCTATATTTAAAATCACTTTTTGAGCAATAATAATTCATTTAACATTTATTTTACATGAAAAAATTCACTGTTACTCTGCACTAATATGGTAGCCACCAGCCATATGTGGCTAGTTAAATTTATATTTAAACTAATTAAAATAATATTAAAACAAAAATCAGGGCCTTGGTTGCACTAACCACATTTCAGCTGCTCAACAGCCACATGTGCATAGTGGCTACAATGCTGGACAGTGAAGATATAAAACATTTCCATCATCACCGAGCATTCTAATAAACAACATGGTTATAACAATAAAATAATGAATACATTGCCAATAACAGTCTACAGTTTATTTTCAAAGAAATAAAAATAAAACAGTAGCAAGGTATAAAACTATCAAATAAAACCTTTAACAAATGAGTAATTTTATTCCTAACTGTTAAGCAATTCCTAGGTAAATATTAGGCCCAATCTACTCAACCAATGATTTTAAGTTAGTAGCTACCCAAGAGCTATTGACATGGAATCTACAAAACAATAAAATATGCTTTAGATTACTCTATGATAATACTATTTCTGAGTATATCTTGGCAATTACTAAATAATTCAACCTTTTCTTTTTTATTTGGATTTAAGAAGTAAAAACCAAAGAATATGCACACGTATCTAAATAGTAAAGTTTTATTAGTAGATAAATTTCAAATTTTTCTGTTAGTTGAAAAAGGTATGAATTTACCATAATAAAAAAAATATATATATCTAATCCCTAACCACCCACTGATTTACATTCTGTCTATACAGATTTGCCTATTCCAAACAATTCATATAAATGAAATCTATCATACATATGTGGCCTTCTGTATCTGGCTTCTTTCACTTAGCATAATGTTTTCTAGACCCATCATGTTGCACCATGTTTCAGTACTTCATTCCTTTTCATAGTAGAACTTTTAAGGAAGAGAATGATAAAATTTAAGATTAGTTAAGTCTAGGAGGAAGCAAGTGTATGGGATAGGGGAAAGCACATTGGTCAGGGTAAACTACCGTTAATGTTCTAGTTACTCAAACAGAAGTTGCTCATTATACTGTTTTATAAAAAACATATGTTACATAAATTCCTTTGTAAATATCAAATGTTGCATTAAAAATAAAATGGAAAATAATGGTTTCTACCTCAGAGGGTTAAAGAAATAAACAAGATAACTAATGTAAAAGATGTATAGAAGACCTAGCAGTTAACAAGCACTTGATAAATAGGAGATAATATTTTCACACTATCTTTATCACTACCATCATCCTGGGCTTTCATATGGTAACATATTTATCATAAATATATTAGCATGTTAGCAGTGGTGATTCAAATTTTACACATAATCCACATTTACAAGTGACTCATCCAAGGTTGCACTATTGGTTAGTGATAGAAGGAAAATTCAAACCAAGATCCTCCAACTCCCAGTACAGGATTCTTTCTAATTCACTATAAACAATTTTGCAGGTTAATATTTGTATTACATATATATTAAAACTAAAAATAAAATTTCTTCACCTAAAATGTCAATTCATTTATTCAATCCTGCATTATCCAGTTCTGTTTCTTCTCCATTTCCCATAGCTTATTCTTCTGGCCTTTTTATTTAGTATTTCTTTCCACAGAGGATGAAAAGGAGGCATTAACAATGTATAAAAAGTAATGCTTGGGCCTTTGTATACACTCTTATTTATGCCTCACAAAGCTGGGAGATCAGGATTATCTCCTTTTTTAAAATGTGAAGACTGAAGGTAGGAAAACACATAAAACTGTATTCTAGTTCTGCTAGTTCCCAGCTGTATACCTTAACTAGGCAAGTTAAATACTGTTCAGTCTCAATTTCAGTTTGCCTTAATCCTTTAACTAGGATTTATGATGAATAAATCAATATATAACTAAATGAATGAGAAATAAAGATATTGTTGTATGGAGTTATTATGAGAATTAGAAAAAACAGATGGAAGTAATAACAACAGCAGCTCATTTTTTAAGCACTAACTATGTACAGGACACTTTTATAAGTCCTTTCAGTGCATTAACTTATTTAATAAAAT